CCGAGGTTAATAAGATAGAGATGGCAAGTCATCTGAAGAGGTCCTGGCAGAGTTTGTTGAAGGATCATTTTGAAGAGGCGATGAGAACATCCTCATCAGCACCGCCACTAATGGCGAATCCCTTCGTTAGAACTGCGGGACAATTAATGTTCACCTGGAGTCTGGTGGGAATAGAGTTGGAGACATTGACCTCGTATGACAGGCTGAAGTTGGGAAGCAAGAAGCTAGAGGTGTATCAGGCACTGATGCAACACGTGGCCAGGGACAATTCAGGCTTGAGCCTGGCTAGGAGAAAAGATGCCACATGTTTCTTGAGATGGACAATGTCAATGATGTCTGATAGCACCATCCTGGCATGCCACCAGAGAGCAAGTGGAAGTAAAACCATGGAGAGAAGAGTCTCAACGATCATCTTGAACGTATATCAGAGTACAGGAATAGAGAAAGAAGATGGTTCCAGACTATCCTTAGAGAACCATCGAAAGCTGGACGAGGTACGGAGGTTCTCTAATAAGAAGTTCGAGGAAGAACATGATGTTCACCGTAACCTGGCCTCGTCAGAACAGTACTCGAGACTCAGTGAGAAGGGGGAATACCAATATGTGTCTGGAGTGATGGGAATAGCCTACAATCCCTTCTTAGACTCGGAAGCTGGAGGAGCCCACAGAAACCATGAGGTAGCGGAGCTACTGAAGTTTTGGACAGAAAGGATAATGGAGATAGACGCGGTGGAGAAAGAGGGGCCGAGCCTGGGACTGATTCTTGAGAAAACACCAGAGGTGATAAGCATACCGCGCTCAAACAAGAGAGTTGAAGTGAACATGGGCGGTGGAAATGGCTTGTTAACCACGAACTTGGGAGTGATATGGAAGCTACTAAGACCCTCCTGGTGTCCACATCCCCATGCGAGTCTAATCGAGGAAACCACCGAGCGAGTGAGGTTAGCCCCAACGGAAGATGAAGATCTGGCGAAGTTGAGTGTGCTACATAAGCTAATCACACCCCAGATGCAAGAGCCAAGCGAAAGGACGAGCGACCCCGGGTCAGCAAAGAAATTGGAGCCGGGTAGCTGTCTGGATTCGACGTGTGGGAACGGAGAGCACATCTGCGATGGACGGTCATGCGTCAGGATACTGTCGTTTCAAAAAGAAGACCTGGTCACTTGGTTCGAAGACATCACAGAAAGGGAGAAAAGTGAAGTGCAAATAATAGCGGAATGTTACGCGAGAACCACGGTGAATATAGCGACAGCTCTCGGATTCTTCTCGAGAATGTGTGGTCTGCAGGCACTGGAGAGACTGGAGTCTGAGCATCATTTAGTGACGGCGTTGAGCGTAGAATCATGGCCCGGGGTGTTGCAGGTGACTCAAAAACACATCCGGAGCTGGAAAGTTGGTCTTGAGGCGGAAATGGGATTTCCCCTGAGCGAAGCTTATGGCTTGCCATTGAACGCGAAATCGCTGATAGGGTCAATGATGGCCAACTTGTGCGGAAGTCACTACCCGCTACACATGGCGATGGTGGAAGTGTCCAGCCAGAGAATACTGGTGGACAAGGCCTTCTCAGTGCCCAAGTGCGTGAGGTTGGCTCGGATGTCGCATCACTCGCACAAGTTGTTGAGAAAAATCAAAGGGACAGTACCAAAAGAATTGAGAGATGACTTAAGCGAAATCTGGGGAGAAGATCTTCTGAAGTTGGAAAGAGAAAACACAAGCGATCACGAGAGACAAAACGTGATCGGGAAATCTGTGGGAAGTACTCCAAACCTGGAAGACAATGACACGATGCACGAGAAAATGATGGAGCTTGAGCCTCTCTTGGAAGCCTCAGGGGAGCGTAATCTCAGGAGCATTGAGATCTCTCATGGGGAATGCCCATGCCACTGTTTGGCACAAACGGTGTGGTATCCAGATCACAAGAACCTTTGCCTGGTGTGGGATGTGGAAGAGATTCGGTCGATCGGACTACCGGATCACCGGCAGAAGGTGACGCTCTTAGTAGTGAGTACGATGTTAGCTCTGAGATGGATAGAAGAGAATATAACGAAGTATCGGGAGGCGACGACGCCAACGGCTGAGTCAATATACGCGATAGACTACAGCAGGAGACTTGAGTTGTTTGAGACTGCGTGCAAAGTATTCGCCATACCGACGGAAGTCAGGCACGTATGGAGTCGCTTGAGGTACTTTCCATGGTTTCGGGCGACACTGACGTCTTGGCTGTACAGGGCAACGAAAGATCACATGAGAAAACATCAAAAGGAGTATCGACAGTTCCAGGCCGAGATTGGGCCGGAAGCTTTCAAGAGACCCCTGCTAACCCATCGTAATGCGATCACGACGGGATGGAAGAGAGTGGGTAAGATGTCTAGAGACAATACCAAAGCGAGGGAGTCGATACTAGAGGAAGACCTGGCGAAGAACGTGAGCTTGAGCCTGCACAACTCCTTTTGCTTGAACCGAGAAGCTAGGGTGAAGGCACTACCCAACCAAGCAAAGAGATTGCAGGAGCAGAGAGAATGGATGCGATCCTATGAACAGCTGAAGGCTTGGGAGGAGATTGTGATTAGTTCCGATGATGAAGAGGAACTGTTGAGACAGTTTGCCGCATCTAGCACTTCAGGATGCAGTACCTCCAAGGCGAAGAGTACGAGATGAATGGGCAAATCGGATGGATCTTGAGTCTTGAGAGGGAAAGGGGGCTTGAGTGTGAATCCGAGTGAAACTTGGATTCACGAAAAAGAAATTTTAACAAAGCAAATATTGTTACTAATATACTATATCTATTATATAAATCGAAATGCTGCATGACAATTTCCTGATTGAATAGGACAAAAGAGATTTTTAAATGATTGGCTTGAAAAGCGAAAATTCAAAGGTGCAGGTAAATGCAGATTTTGGTTGCTGTTTAGCAATAGTGTGAAAATTTTAAATGGTCGTGAATTTTGGGGTGTAGATAATCTTAAATCTGCTGCAAACTTCTGTAAATGACCACTGGCACTGTATCTTGAGCAACACTCGGTTTTTCTGGGACTCACTGGCAGAAGACAGCGCGCGATGAGGACATCGATCTCAAGTCCGGGGAGTATGTGCCAGTCGGTCATATTTGGAAGTTTGACCTTGAGAAGAGCAGAAAACACTTGATTTTGGAGTGAAATTTAAATTTTTAAATTTTCGAATGGAACATGTCATGCACGATTTTCTCGCGAGAACTGAAAATCAAAAAAGGAAAAGAGAACAATTTTAGAACAATTGCGGGAAAGTTGTCAGAAAAAAACGAGTGGGAAATTGCTATTCGCAATTTCCATCATAGTGAACAAGAGTAGAGCTGTCCTATCTGAAATAGAAGACAGAGTATTCCCGAGAGAGCAATTATTCGAACTGGACCAGAGTGAACCTTCGACGGAAGGGTGGACAGCTTGAGTGTCCCAATGGTCCACATAAAACTTCGTTCGTGAGTTCAAACTTACCCTTACCATTCAAACTGATAAACATTGAACTTATCTAGTTACCTTAGTTAATTCTAGAGTTGCTCACCCATTTAATTACTTCCTGTGCTTGAGCGCATCAACATGTGAGTCCTTAATTTAAATTTCTAGAGTGTGTTTTATGATTGTTATGTTGAGGTAAGGCGAGTTTTAGGTTGATCCATCTGAAATGGATCAAGGTCACACTGTCTAATAAAAAGTAACCTAACGGATTGTTCCAACCCGGTTTTTAACGGCGTTCATGTATTTTGGGTATCTAGAGACCTAAGTATGGGGACGTTCTTAATTCTAGAGTGGGGGGATATTTTAGTAGTAGCCTTTAAGCTGTAACGGGTCGTAGTCTCATGTCACAAGCGAACCGAACTGGCTCCGACCGTTCTTGAGGTGGGAAAACACAAGAGATAGTGTCCCTGACCCTTGAGCCAGTGGTTATAGGGCCTATTTTTCTTAAGCCTCATGTGTGACTGTAGTAGACGAATGTTACAGATCTCGAGTCCGGGGAGTATGTGCCAGTCGGTCATATTTGGAAGTTTGACCTCGAGAGAAGCAAAAAGCACTTAATTTTGGAGTGAAATTTAATTTTTCAAAATTTCGAATGGAACCTGTCATGCACGATTTTCTCGCGATAACTGAAAATCAGAAAAGAGAAGTCAGAACGATCGAGTGACAATCGCGGGAAAGTTGCTAGAAAATCAGTTGGAAATTGCTAATCGCAATTTCAGTAGCGATAATAATCCGGAGTAGAGCTGTCCCATCTAGAAGAGAGACGAGCGCATTCCCACGAACTGGATTGTTGTGATTGGAGTATTATTCTAAACTGGACTAGAGTGAACCTTCGGTGGAAAGGTGGACAGCTAGAGTGTCCCAATGGTTCACGAGAACTTACAGTCTAGAGAAAAAACTTGTTCTTGTTATTAAAACTGACTAACATTAAACTCATTTTAGTTACTTTATTGATTCTTGAGTTGCTCACCGACTTATTTACTTCCTGGTTCTTGAGCGTGCTACAATGTGAGTACTAATTTAAATTTTTAGAGTGTGTTTTACAATTGTTATGTTGAGGTAAGGCGAGTTTTAGGTTGATCCATCTGAAATGGATCAAAGTTCCACTGTCTAATAAAAAGTAACTTAACGGATTGTTCCGACCCGGTTTTTAATGGCGTTCATGTATTTTGGGTATCTAGAGACCTAAGTATGGGGACGTTTCTAATTCTAGAGTGGGGGGATATTTTAGTAGTAGCCTTTAAGCTGTAACGGGTCGTAGTCTCATGTCACAAGCGAACCGAATTGGCTCCGACTGATTTGAGGTACAAAAACACAAGAGATAGTGTCCCTGACTCTTGAGCCAATGGTTATAGGGCCTATTTTTCTTAAGCCTCATGTGTGACTGCAGTAGACGAATGTTACATTGGTTGAAATTTGAGCCAACGAATTTATGGATTGATTGTTTACTGTTCAACCAGCATAAACTCAAGCTGCAGATTAGTGACCGCCGCAGCCGCACCAACGTGTTGCGAGCTTGCCATCAAATTGCGAGCTTGCCACGAACGTGTTGCGAGCTTGCCACCCGACTGTATGCGAAATTTAGAGCCGGTTATCGCCGCCAAGCGGCGACGCGCGCGTGGCACTGGCGACCTTAAACCGAGACTCGGCTAATTTAGTCTTTCGACCAATTGAAAAGATTTGGAACTTATGCGACTGCTTTTTTATTTTGGAACCTATGGGACTGATTGTCAAGAGATGTTAGTTTCATCTGGATCTAGAGCAGTGTTTTCAATTGTTTCTCTTGCATCATTGGTGTTGGTTTGATTTTGGTTCCATCGATGATGTGGTTTCGATTCTGGCTCCATCGATAATTTCTCCCACGAACAGGTTTATATTGTCTTCCGGACAATTTTTATTCATTTAAAATATAAGTGCTTTTAACCCCTAAATCAATTAAAAGATTTTTAATGAATTGGTCTTGAATTTAAATGAATTTGTTTTGAGTCAAATTTTGATTTGGACAGGTACATTTTTGAACACAAAACTAAAAATATTTTGGGAGTAAGTTTTCAGTGTCAACAAAAAATGCTGGCCATTCTGGTTAACATATGATATCTGTTCAATCTTGAATGTTAATTGAATCTTAATTCAATTTAGTTTTTTAGCTATGTCCATAGATAGACTGCAACTTTAGGGGCAACTCCTCGCTCCTTAATTCCTCTCGCGTGGTAGAACTGAAAAGTAGTAGGAAAGCCCTGTGTCACTTCACAGCGACCAGCTAATCTAGTTCCTTTTTTGTTGTTTTTATAAGCCTCCTTTAGTCTGACTGGAAAAGCAAGAGGTGAGAAACTTCGACATCAATGATGATCTCCAAAATTTAATACATAATTTTGCCTCTTTCAGGTCAATAACTACTTTATATTGTCTCTCTCTGTGGCCGATTGTGTCGTTGGGCTCATTGTGTTCCCACTCTCTGGAGTATTCTTTCTATCGGACAGCAGATGGGTTCTTCCCAGTATGATCTGCCAAATATGGCTCTCCGTGGACTACGTCATGTGCACCGCGTCTATTTTAAACTTGACGGTTCTCTCAGTCGACAGGTAACTCATTTATGGTGGCCAATCAATAATGGTCTCGATTGAACACAATTATGGTCCAAGAGCAGAAAAACAGCAAAATTTTATCTTTTGTAAGCTAATCGGTAAATTAAGTATAACAACTGTCAATAGTACCAAAGAAACATATTTAATGCATAATTTGAATATTTAATCGAGATTTTAATTGAAAAATTTTCAATTAAAAACTTCAAACATCAATGTTGCATAAAACATTTTCGTCAAAAACTCATCATCAGTAAAATCTGAAAAAAAGCAATAGAATGTACAGATAAAAAGCACAAACTCAAAAAATCACAAGAACTGACGAGAACAGATAAAACTGCAATATGAAAGAAAAAGATGAAACTAGCAACGAAAAAGTGCAACAATGTAATTACAGCTTCAGTGTAAGTTTCTTGGTATTATTGACGAGTCTAGCAATTGTTTTATCAATTAGCCCGTATAAATCAATAGAACTTAATATTTTTCTGTTTTTTTGCTCTTGGACCCTCTCTGCTCTTAGACCAATCTGCTTATTGCTCCGCCTCCCTCATTAATGATGAGCTTAAGGCTCTTTCTCACTAAAACATACTCCCCTGCCCTGCCTTACCAAAAATTATACTCCCGCCAATAAAAATTTCACATTAGAATTTTTGCATTGAGGGGCGTGAGGATTGTTTGCTGGGAGTCTATAATGAAAAAGAGTCGAAGTTAACTAACCTTACCGATGGTACATATTAATTAAATATCGCCATTTTTGCCGCCTGTTAGCGTGGACAACAAAATGATCGAATAATTTGGTGACGTTTCATTAACTTTAAAATTTTCGGAAGAGAGTGATTTTACAATGTTTGACTTATATTTTTACGCTTGCGATTTGCAAGCATTATCAAACTGGAATATGCTTTTTTTCGGATTAACAACCTGTTTAACAGAATCACTTGTATCTTGGTTCATAATCACTTCAAACTTCAGACATGCGTTCCCGGCCAATGTAGCCTGAAGGTAATGAATATGCCTGGGACGGTAAAGTTTCCGGGGTCGAATCTGGCCTCGATCTGTTTTTTTTTTTCAAGCGGAAAATATTTTGTTTCAATTAAAATTGTCGACCAAATATTTCTCTGCTTATCTGTTGTCGGCTTAGTTGTCACTAGCATCATAACTAGTTTATAATAGCCTAGTTTTATAACTGGCTATGCCCAGTTCGTTTAAGAAAAAAGTCATGGCCTTCAAACTTGTCGAATTTTTGAAACTTTGACAATTTTTTTGCAAATTTTTTGACTTTAGGCGAAAACTACCCCGCCAATTCATAGGTTGTGTTCAATCGAGAAACCTGGTCTTGGGAATCTTCTCTGCTTAAGCGGCCACAAACTTTGCCGGGAAAAGTCATGGATTTTGGAATCCTTCTGACCGTTCTTTAGAACTTTTGACCGTTGTTTAGAAACTTTTTGAAATTTCTTATTTTACACAATCAATTCGGAGATGAAAGTTCAACTGAAAGAACTGGTTGCAATAATGGTTCCTTCAGAATTTTTTTGTAAGAGAAATGTTATCTTCTTAGGAAAAATGATAATCTCAAAAAAAAATTTCTCTGCTCACCTATTTTAGTCCAATTTGTAAAATCACATTTTTCGTGCCGCATCAGTTTAACAAGTTCGTTCAACTTCAGCTTTAGCTGGACCGCTATTTGTTTTTTATCTAGACATAGAAATTTGGCTTCACCGAGTTTTTTCCAACATTTATTTTTTAATTGTTTTTTAATGTTTTTAATGACATATGTTTTTTTTTAAATCTTTGTGTTGTATCGCTAGTGTTGCGTAGCTCCGCTTCGCCTCTGTGGTAGTTATAAATCCTGTATTCTTTTCTTTAGATATCTCTCTATTCGGTCTCCTCTTGCTTATCTCAAGGAGCGCACGAAAAGAAGAGCATTTATTATCATCGCTGCAGTATGGATTCTGTCTTTCACATGGATTTTACCGATCTATGGATACCATCACGTGTTCAGGGGAGGTGACAAGCTAATTACAGGAAATTACGAGTGCGAGACTGAGTTCCACCTGGACACAACGTTCAAGTTCATCACCAGTCTATTCAATTTCTGGATCCCACTGTCTTTGATTATATTCACGTACATCAAGATATTCGGACTTATCAGGCGAGTTAACTAGAAAAATTTGTTGTTTCGGCGTAATTGAACTAGTTATAAATAAGCGAGAAATTGCTATGCAAGAGTAATATGCTGTTTCGTTGTGGAGAAAATTATGGATTACATAATCACTTTTACATGTTTCAAACGCATGATTGAAAAAGTATCACTGTTGTGGATTAGATGACCATTAAAACTGCTTTAGAATTATAAGCCATGTTTGTCATTTAATAATGTTTTCTATTTTTCCTCGAACTTTTTTAAAGGTACTCTAGTTCTGTGCTGTATTTTGCTGAAAAATCGCGCTTAAACAGACATCTGCTGGCTGGTATTTATTCATGAAATCTTTGCAGGAAAAATTCTCAGATGGCAGTAGGACAGAAAACGACCTTGAACGAACTTGTGAAACAAACTACAGTAGTTTCAGCTGCATTAGATACGAATTTGAAAAAGATAGCCGCAGCTGAGGATGACTACTTACGAGCGAACAAGAGAGTTCAGTTTCCAAAAGATGCGACGAACTCCCCTCAAAAACCACCCTTAGCTCATCCAGCTAATCAGAAATCTAGAAGTCACTCGCTACAGACGTGTAACAAGGATGCTAAGTACAACCTTTCAGCAATCGATAAAAACAAGCCGGAAGTTATACAGAAAACGTCTCAGCTTTCGATGAAAGTACCGTCTCCAAGAAATAGCAATGTGTCGATGCAAAGTAGCGAGAAAATAACATCGAAGTCGGGCAGAAATACGAGTAGTTCCATTCTCTCGTTTGGAGTTAGTAGCAAGTTCGTAATCAATCATTCGAGCGAAATCAAAGCCGCGAAGCAACTGGGAATTTTGGGTGAGTAAATATGAGTTTCAGGGTTGACCTATTGATCCAGTTTTCCCAAATTGGATTAATTTTTTAATCAAAAAAGTGTCAATCATAATTTTTTTTAATTCAAACAGATTTAAGGCCATCTTTGTTTCCTTGCGTTCATTGACTCTTTTGCAACTGTCTATTGGCTTTGTTTTCGATTCGTGAATCAAGTTTAGTGTCTTATGATTCATGAATTAACATTTGGATTCTTTATGTGACTTCGTCTTTTAACAATGGTGAATTTCTTCTGGGAATAATTGGAAAAAACAAGCCTTTGAACACCAAAAGTAGCGTATAGTTGAGCATAAATGAGCTGATGGCCCTCACTGTATTTGAGAAAGACAGCTTTTTGCAAACATGAATGTACTAATTTTTATTGGTTTCGAGTTCTTTCTTAGTTTATACTTCGTTTTTTTTTCAGCTGCCTGTTTTATTGTGTGTTGGCTGCCATACTTCATACTATTTCAAGTGGTCACCCTTTGCAACGAGTGTGTGTCTCACGAATTGGTCACAGCTTCAATCTGGCTCGGTTACTTAAACAGGTACCAACACATCTCCTCTTGACCTTTTCGATTTGCTTCCGGAAGTTGAAACACTACGAACTCTGTGTTTTGTAGGTGGCGTAGGAGTTGATTCTTGGTAGTACAACCAGTCCAATTTTTCCTCATCTCCCAGTGTGAAATGACTTTACCGGGAAAAATCGAAAATTGGGCTGTTTCAATTATCCCCATAATTCAAGATTTTACTGAGAATAAACCATTAATTCTTCAAAAAGCGAATGTTAGAGAAAAATTTACGATTTCCGCATTTTCTCGAAACTTTTTTTCATAATGCTTGAATTAATTTTAATTTTATATTCTGAGTTAAATAGCAACATACTGAATTTGTAACAAATGAATCATTGAGGCTTCAAAATTGTTGCTAACTAAATAAGACATTAAGACGACATGACGTTAAAACAACAAATGAGAGTCTAAACATATAAATTGAAGTGTTCGGCTTTAAGTAAATTATATTTCTCAGAAATGCAATTGGAGAATTTCGTGTAGCGTCGTCCTAATGTCCCATCAAAAGCGGTTGTCGTCTTATTTGCGGGCCACCTTCAAAATGTTTTATGTTGAGCTTATTTTCAGTAGCCTGAACCCGTTGATCTATCCCCTATGCAACCGACACTTCAAAGAGGCATTTAAAATGATTCTCTGTGCTAAGAAATATGGAGGAAAATATCGATACACTATACAGCGCTTTGGACACGGCCAAAATCGTCAGCAAAACCCCCAAAATAGAGGAACGCCCCTGCATTTGAAAAATAATTACAGAAAACAGTACCAGAACCAGAAGTTCAAACACGGATTAGTAGCAGGAACGAGCGGTCAAGCTAAATGCTGATTGATTTATTAAAACTGAACATTTGAAAACTATGTAAATCACTTAAAATTCAGATTCTTTTCTATATTTGTGTGATCGGTTTCAAGAAAATAGATGTCAAAATATTGCATAACTTATTAGAATTAATTTAATTGTTTGTGAAAAATTTTTTGACTGTGGGCGTGGATTTTCGGAGTTAAACATGCGAACCAAAGTAGCATAATTCTTGCTAAGTTTTTTTTTCAAAATTTTTTCGAAATAATGAAAGACATTTTTATATATCGCGAAGGCATTGACAGCATCAGCTCATGTGTAAAAGATTTTAAAATGACTATCATTTTTTGTAAAATTTTGGAGGCTTGAAAATTATCATTTTGCTAGATTTAATCATGCGCAAGTTTATGCACTTATGCTGCTGAACACTTAAGTACGACTTATTTAGCAAACCAGATTTTACAGCAGTCAAATAATCATTCTAGTTGGTCGCAGTTATTTCCCCGCTAGACTTTTCAGTTATTGTTGTTCAGACCATTGAAAATAGGGAGAAACTTTGTATTCAGGTGAGTTATAGTTATTTTTCCTCGCAAAATCAGGTACTAATATCAAACATCGAAATGAATCGTGTGTTAGATCACATTGAAGCCCTTTTAGTTATGATTCCAACGCCATTTTACCAGTTGCGATAATTTGTCTTAGTATCGAGAAAAACAGGGTTCGAAATTTCCGAGTTTTAGTCTAATTTCGAGCTGGTAAAGCTATCGAGTAACGTTTGTTTAATGAAAATTGGTCGTTTAAGCGAAAAAAAAAACAAGATTATACTAAAATGAAAACTAGTTTTGAACGCTTTATTTAGCGCTTTTTTGGCAAAGGTAATTATGCCAAAAAATTGAACTTAAATTGTTGCACAATTTTGTTGAAATTGTTATTGAATTTTTTTCTTTCGTGTGATGAATTGTTTAACTGAAAAAGTTTTCTTAAATTACTAATTTTCTACGCTTTTTTTTATAATTATTTCATCACACCACGCTCAATGAACGACACTATTTGGAAGAAAAAATATTTTAGTTTTTTTTTCTTAGATTGTAGTCTGAACGTTGTGAGCTACTGTACATCAACCGTCTACGCTTGTTAGTTTCGAGTTCGGTTTATTTTTAATGTATATTTCTGTAGATTCAGGAATTTTCGCCTTTCAAAAAATTTTCTCAGCGGAACGAAAAAAAAAACCATTGATTCAGTTTTCTCTAATTGGGTTACTGTTAGCCAAAAAGTGTTTATCTTCAAGAATTGTGAATTGAACAGAAATAAATCAATCACTTTTGAAATGGCAAAACGAGTGTCACTTTAAATTTCACTTGTTAAGGATATTCTTGTTTTTTTAATCATTAAGAAAGTCTAAAAGTGCAATCACGGTCAAGTTTGAGTTTTCGAGGTTGCCTGTTCGTGCGAAGCCCATATAATTGCAAATGGTTGAACAATTTGTGAGTTTGAAAATTGTTTATTTAGCATGCTCTGGACCAATTTATGCGCGCTTTGTAGATTTTCTCCAGAATCCTGAAAGCATAACGAGCCAATTGAGGCTAGCTAATCGGTCGTATTAATTTCGTACGACTCAAATTCTTACACTTGATTTTTGATATTGCCTACATTTTATAGTTTTCATTATTGTTCCGACTTTCGTAACGAAAGTAACGGAATGTTTATGCTCGGGTGGTTGTTTTCTTCAGACGAATTTCAATTTTTTAACTAGCCATTTTTGACTGAACTTTTTTATATCATTCGAAAGCAATTGTTGTTCTAAGCTTAAATTATGATATTTTTTTTACCTGTGATTATTTTTTGTAAAGTTATGGGGGCTTGAAAATTGCCATTTTGGACAATTTGGGACAATTAACGCGCGATATTTTTCCAGCTATTAATGCGTGAGCGGATATTTAATGCGTCTTAGAAATCGTTCCAAATTAGCTGAAGAAGCTTATTTGCCTTAATAGGTGGCTCTTTTCCAGTCCCTTCCCCTTTGATATTTTCTAAAATTCAAAATATGAAAGTCTATGCAAAATGATTTTTCATGCTAATAACTGCGTTAAAACGTGTCAGCGTGAACAGGTGAACAAACTTGTACAGCACTTACAACATGCAAAATGCCGTGTGAACAATTTTTGAACTGTTTTATTTTGTAACTTTACGAGGGGATGCGAAACTGAAAACGTTCCTAATTGGTTTGTTACTAGGAGCGAATCTTATCACTTTGTACTTTATATGGCGTGTGGGGGATGGTTATCGGAAAAATCTCAAATTAAAAAAAATGCATTTTTTTTCATTTAATTTTTCATGTTAATACTGCTCCATAGACGTTAAAGGGCAGTCGGAACATTCAGGGCTTCGCTCTGATACGAGCAGTCTTGTTTTCTTATTACTACCAGTGTCACGAAGTTTGGACTCTTTTCCAGTTCCCCCCTTTCAAAATACCGAGTTTTATGCTTGATTTACGTGTTATTACGGCTAAATGCGTGATGTTACGCTGTAAAGTATGAAGAACAAATCTGTTCAGAATTGTCAATTTGTTCACCACGCCAAATTTCATTGCATTATGAAAACGTTAAATAAAGTTTTCAAAATTGAATTTGAAAGGGGGTTGGGGAACTGGAAAAGAGCCGAAGTTTGTTTAAAACTGGAAAAGAGCCATCAAAAAGAAATCAAACCAAGTAGCAATGATAATATCTGCTGATGTTGATAAGATAAAACAGAGTTTTTAAAGCACATTTGAATTATTGTTTTTTGTTTCCATCAGTGACAATCAATCATATACAAAATGATTTTTATTTCCGGCTCTTTTCCAGTAGCAAAAATGTTCAAATAGGACTTTAAAATTGTTGGTAAGAATTTGCTTTTTTTTGTTTTTGCTGCAATGTTTTAAAAAGTTAGGCGCAACTTAGAAAGCGAAACTGGAAAAGAGCCATCTCTAACCAGATTAGGTTTCTCGTTCGATTTTTCCCGAATTCGGTGTCTTGAGAGACGCACTAGTTGTACAGCGTGTAGAAGGGGTCGTTCTTCAGACCTTGCACGGACTGTCTTCGACTGCGGGTCTGAATTTGTTCTTCCATATCTGACAAGAGATACACTTAGCAAGAATCGACCGGTTCTTTTTCCGTCTCTTCTTTTTATTTTGAAATATTTAAATCTTTTTATTTATATTTAAAAGTTTTGTTCACGCTGTCCATTCGTCATGCAGATTGACAAATGGATCAATTACATAAGTACAGAAACATTTAGGGTGTTTCCCATTATAGCCCCCCTCCAGTAAAATAAAACCTCCCCCTACCTCTAGTGAAATTAAGATTGTGTTCTCATATATAACTTTGTAAACTCAATGGCTACCCCGTAAAACTGATGCTTATAATAATTGGTGGTGGCGGGGGGATTTGGTAGAAGAGAGCTCACGTCGGATTTCATTGAATATCAGTATGTTTCACCTATTTGGTCTTCATGTACAACTTAGTAAAATCATTGGTCGCATCAGAGAAATGATACTTTTGTAATTTGGGAGGGAAAACTAAAGAAACTTTCAAGATAAAAATTGAGGGCATCTTATCCTTTTTTTCGCACCTCACATAAGCATCAATTGTATGGCGTTACTAGAGGTTTTACATGGTTAAGAATGAAGAACAAATAAGTTTGTCATGGCTTAACCAGTCTGCATGTTAATTTTGAAACAATGTCAACAGAAAAATCACTAGCAGTTGGGGGTCGGGGATGGGTAAGAAAAAGAGCAAAATCGAGATTTGTTGCGCAATCATGAAAAGAAATAGAGCTATTGCGGCATCAAATTTACATGTAAAAATTTGCAGGTGGGGGGGGGGGGGAAGAAATAGAGCTATTGCTAAGTACATCCCTGTAAAGTGCAACTGGTTGCACAAGTCCGCAATAATTTTCTGCACCCATATTTTTGCCTCCCGATTATCGTCGATGAGTTGACTAAACTGCTCTTGGTCTTTTGAATGCAAACTTCTAAATAACTCGAACCACAATGCAAACTGTTGCGTTTCTTGTAAGTTTGGTCTCATTTCGAAATATCTTTTAACAGATTCTAATGCGAGTTCAGGGTTATGAGCAAGAGCGCACATAGCCGCTTTGAAAAAGAAGTTATCTGCGTGGTCTTCGTTTGATTCATCTGTGTACAACCCAACTGCCAGTTTTTCGAAATTGGCTTTCGCTTTTTCGTAGTTTTTGTAATCCATCTGCATATGAGCTAACCGGCTAAGTGACGTGTCTATAGGGTTTAGTTTGCTTTCGTCTATACTCGGGAGTCTAATTCTTTCCATAACCGTCGACACCGACCGATTGCTTCGATTCGTAGGTTGCTGACCGTTTTTCTCTTTTATGCATTTATCCTGTTTGTAACATAGTGCAGCACTGGCATAGCTTCCCGCAGCGTCAATTGTTTCCATCTCGTTTCCCATTTCCTGCAGCCGAGCACAGTTCTCGTACGACTCTCCCGCCTTTTCCCACTCGTTCGCGTTCATAAAATGATGCGCGGCACGCAGGTATTTCCGGATCGACTCGGCTCGGTCATCGTCTGTTTTCTCTCGAGAGCAAAGTCGGAAAATGCGACAACCTTGGAACGCCAGTCGTTTTTTGTTTGCATCTTTGAAAAGTTTCTCACCCTCCTCTTTACTTTGTGGGCCGGTGTATTTCAGCGATATGCTAAGTCGCCGCCCCGGAGCGTCCGGGTGTTGCGAAATCATTTTCTTAAAAAACTAAAAAATTTCGATTTTTAACGGAACGATTTGTAATTACTGCTTGGTTCAAGGAATGAGTGTGTTAAGCTGATCTTTGTTACATGTGGCAATTAGTTCTCATCAAACATTTTGGATGAGTCACTTTTTGATTGATGCCCGTGCTAATTTGAATTATATTTGTTCACGTGTTAAAATCAACATATCTACAAAGCTGAGATCAGGTCATCATCATTTTCCAGTCTTAATAGTAAATTCAGTACCTAGAAACAGGTCTGTCAATATGGCGTTTCAGCTCTTTTTAAAAAAATTAAGCAATTCCAGAAGTAATTTTTTTGGGCTTTTTAATTTTTTTTCTTCATTTTTTTAGCCTTCTCGTCAGCATTAATAGTAAGCAATTCAAATTTAATTTGGTAGTCATACGTTTTGCAACAAGGAAATACTAGTGAATTTTGTAAAGCTTGTGATTATTTTATTCGGGAATCAAATTTTAATTTTTGAGTTTAAAAAGAGCTCTCAGATCCCTATTGCATTTACTGTATACAAAAGACAGAAGAATCTTTGGATAGAACATGCAGCCGCAAGAGAGCATTGACCATTTGACGAACAAACGGTTTATGAATATTCCGAGGACGAGAAAAAGCCAACATGCACACACCGACCAAATCAGTTCACTTTTCGGGACTGTGCCTTACGGAGACTTCGTCGACCCCGGAACGAACAAAGGCTCAAGTACAATAGATCCGCTATTGCTTTTTGGGCTCTTTTCCAGTTCCCCCTTTCAAAATACCGAGTTTTATGTTTGTTTTACGTGTTATTACGGCTAAATGCGTGATGTTACGCTGTAAAGTATGAAGAACAAATCTGTTCAGAATTGTCGATTTGTTCACCACGCCAAATTTCATTGCATTATGACAACGTTAAATAGACTTTTCAAAATTGAAATTCAAAGGGGGGGGAACTGGAAAAGAGCCTTGCTTTTTATTGCTTACTATCGAAGCAGGCTGCTCAACTTATAAAAATGTTTATTTTGGATTTTTATTTTTGATCTGTAAACTTTGCGATGAAATATAGTAAGAAATATGAAAAACAAAATAGCTGGGCCCGAAAAACCAAATTTTGAGAGTTTTTTCCTTAGGAGCAATATTTATATAAATTCAGCTGAAGGTTTCTTATTTTTTCAAGGATCCGAGAAAGATGTCACGAGAAAACAAGGCGAGGCTTCGCTAGATTACGAATTCGATCTGAAAAGTCCGAAATATTATGAAGTGTTAGAGGATCACCTGAAAGAACAATATAAAGAGATCATCGAAAGCGAGGAGTCAAAGCCGACAGATCAATTAGTCGACAAAGGAAACCAGTCGTGCGAAACTATTGTCGACAAATTCGACAGTTTGGAAATAGAACAGAATAATGTGAAAAACAACGAAATTTTGACAAATAAAGGCTGGTTTTCGGTTTTTCAAAATTCCGTTTTGACATTTAGTATTTTCTAGGAGCGCAATTGGGCTCTTTTCCAGTTTCCCAACCCCACACAAAGTTAGAAAATTAATTTGTTAAAAGTTTGCACTTAAGACAAAATGCAGTAAGGGAGTGTAAAAACCTGCTCAATTGTTCACGCTTATATTGAGTTTCAACTAGAACATAAAAAAAACGTTACGCGGGCGTTCGTAAATTGAACTAAAAAAAGATAAAGGGGACTGAAAAACAGCCCGCAGTTTTTCATAGCGAAGTAAAAAAAAAAACCTCTGAAGTCTGGCCCTATCTATTTAAGAAGTTAAAAACACCTGTTTTTCATGGCTTGTTTTGTTCCAAATATTGCTCTGGTGTAATGTTGATAAAAATTGGAAAACTAGAAAATTTGCCTTACAGTATCAGAAAACAATAATGAAGACACTAAACCAGATTTTGAGGAAGATTCTCTGGACACTGTGTACAGCAGTACTGCAACTTTGGCGGAAGATAAGAGTATCCAGCTGGAAGATTTCATGGCCGACTCGGATTTGGAGATGAAAGACGAGACTACCAGCGTTTCGGCAAGGTCATATGCAAGCAGCAACTTCATACCTTCCGTCAAGTAAGCTAGTTATCCCAGATTTGGAATAGTTTTCTGGCTATTTTCGAGTTGCGAAGTTTTAAACTTAATCGCTCATGGCTTTAATGATATATATTTTTTTCAATTCAAAGGGTGTTTTCCCACGTGTTGTCGTCGGCCACTCGGTAAGGCTCTTTTATTTTTTCCTCACCTTTGAAATGTTATATGTAATTTTGGTTCTTTTTCCTACCTCGCCCCACCTCGCATGATCATCGATTTTATGGTGTAACTAGCAGTTTTACAAGGGTAGATATGAAAACCAAATATATTTGTCATGGCTTAGTTAGTTCGCATGTCAATTTTTATAAAAATTGGATAACAGAACAACCTTTTTAGCTGTAAAAATTTGCAGGTGGGGGAACAGAAAACGAGCCGTAATTTTTCTGTGCACATTGTCCAATTGTTACAAAAATTGGTATGTGATCATTTCAAACACATTTGGTCTCATACTTAACCGGCTCTTTTCCAGTTTCTCACCCCTAATTAGGCTGCTCAAAAATTGTTCACACGGCATTTTGCATGTAAAAAATGTTGTCAAAATTTGTTCACGCTGACACGTTTTGTTGCAGTTTATAACGTGAAAAACAATTTTAAGTACTTTTTCACAACTGAAATTTAGAAAAAAAAACAAAGGGGGGGGACTGGAAACGAGCCACTTAATCTTGTAAAACCCCTTGCTATCCTCTTAAATTGATGCTTATATGAGGTGAAGGTAGGAAAAAGAGCCTTCGGTAAATACAAACAGATTTCTCAAATTGGGATAATTTAATCAAAAAATTACCAATCATAAATTGTTCTAGAAATACAAAGAGCTTTAAAGGCATCTGTTTTTTTTCTCTGAAATTCAAGGGTTGAGATTTTTTCCAAAAACAAGTGAGTTTTTATCCGTTTACTTGCGTTCATGGACTCTTTTCCAACTGTCAGTTGGCTATGTTTTCATGTTTTGTCAAACTTAATTTATTGATCAAAAGGTCACATTCGACTGGGTGATAATTTGATGAGTTAGTTTACATATTTGCAATGAAAAACTCAAAAAAAAGTATGAAAATTAAAACATGCGCTCAAATATTTAGACTAAATGACCGTGTTGTTCAATTCTGCTTTTTACGTACCGGCGTTGGCAAAACTAAGTTTGCAACCAATTACTGCAAATAAAATACACAGTTTGGAAAAGATAACTTTTTTAAACAACAATTTAAACTGTTTATTAAATATCAAGTTGATTGCGTTCTATAGTTGAGTGAATTGATTCAATAGTTACTAAACTCCATTTTTGATCTCCATTATGGACAATCGAAAACTTTGTCTTAGATTCCATTATCGACTGTCTATATTCAACTTTTATACAAATCATATTCGTTTTCTATACAGAATAAACAGGGTGCTTTATATAAATCCTTTCTCATTTCACAAATATTAGGCCTATTGAAGTGATATGTTTGGAGTTTTGGCTCTTTTCCAGTTTCCCCCCCTTTCAAAATACCGAGTTTTATGTTTGTTTTACGTGTTATTACGGCTAAATGCGTGATGTTACGCTGTAAAGTAGGAAGAACAAATCTGTTCAGAATTGTCGATTCGTTCACAACGCCAAATTTCATTGCATTGTGACAACGTTAAATAGACTTTTCAAAATTGAATTTGAAAGGGGGGGAACTGGAAAAGAGCCGGAGTTTTTAAGAGTCCAATTACGTAGTTCACTCTCAAATAAAAGTTATTATTATTTTTTTCTATTTTGTTAAGGAAAAGTTGGAGTATTTTAGAAAATAAGTATGTATTTTTTAATCTGTTTCCTTGCCATCAATGATTTGTTTCAAACTGTCTGCTGACTATGTTTTGCATATCAGGCTATGTTTTTGCACACCAGTTAATATGATAAAGCTAAAATAAAAACAAAATGTTGGTTTTCGGTTAATTTTTAGTGCCAATTTTTTTACTAGAAAAGAAACCATTGAAAGCAGTTGTAGATAACTGTCTTTTTAAATGAAACACTTCACTTGTATTTCTGCCTTTTACCCTCATCTGCTAATTTTTGCAAAACAGAGTTTGTTCTTCCCATTGTTCGATAGTTACAAAAAATAGCAGGTTAACCAATTGGGCAATGACAAACAATTTCCAATTGGGCAATGACAAACATGATCTTCATACTTAACCTCACAACCCCATCCCCCCGATACACCATAAAATTGATGCTTATGTGAGTTGGTAGGGGGGGGGGGGGAGAAAAAGAGCCCAAATAGTTGTTGCAAAGATTTTTGCAATTTTTTTGATTATTTTCACAAAATTGAAATGGTCAGTTCTAGAAATTGAAATTGAAAAAAATTGACCTTTTCCTCAACGCGAGCCCTTAGGTTGCAAAATATTAGAGGAATCTCATGAAAATTATGGTTTGCGGTATGCAACTCGTTCCAAGTGTCTTTAGTTCGCTAAAACAATGAGAGGTTTTTTTTAGTAAAAGTTTTTGGTAGTGTGTGGTTTTTCCATTTTCACCCCACATTTCAAATTTTACATTTTCTTAATTACTTCACGTGATATTTGAGCTAAATGCGGGTAGTTATAATCTAAAGTATGAAGAACTGAAGTATGAAAATTTTTCTGCATCATGACAACGTTAAAATGATTTTTCAAATTTGATTTCAAACGTAGTGGTGGGAATGGAAAAGATCAGTTTTTGTGAACAAAATCCGTCGTCAAAATATCTTTTTTAGGCAATTCATCTTGCAGACAATTGCGATTCATTTTTTAAACAGCAAAATCGATACTATGCTGATTCTAGGGGATTTCATACAGATTTCAGACTGCAAATATTCTATCTTTTAGATATTAATTTCAGACTGCAAATATTCTATCTTTTAGATATTATAATCCATTTATTGGATAGTATAATCAGTTGTTCTGACCTGTTAGAATAATATCA